CAAGGCGTTCGGCTCCCTGGGTCCAGGGAACCCAAGTCAGACCCGAGGCTGCACTCGGACGCGACCATCAACAAGTTTTTGGATGACTGGAAGGGTTGCGGATACAACGCCTACTTGATGGACAGGAGGTTCAACTTCCGCATCGATTGGGCAACAGTGCGGGCCGAGTACCTGCGCCACACCCGGCCCGACGGCACGGGCAAGGGCAACCACCAGCAGAGCAGCTGGCGCGAGCGGGCGACTAGCTCCTGGGACGCCTGGGACACCTGGCAGAGTGACTGGAGCGCTGGCTGGCACGACGACCGTTGGCAGTCAGGAGGCAAGCGTGGTGGAGGCAGGCCCGACGAACGTGGGGAAAAAAGGCAACGATGGGGCGACTGAGCTCCCCTCCCACCCATCCCTCCACCTAGAGGGACAGGTATATCGACCGTGCTTCACACTTTGCGCAGCCTTCAGCTGCCTCCCGGTGCCCTCTCAACCCGTGTGGCAGCCGTGCTGCCCCCCTCCCTGGTGCACGCACTTCCTGCCTTTTGACCCAAGTGTGTCGACCAGCAATACCATCTGCATTGCAGCGCGGAGGAGTGATGCGTGCAGACCCTAGTTGGCCCCTGGCCCCCTGTAGTTGTCTCACTTCTGGCCCGGGCGGATCCGCCCCCGGCCGCGCGGCTTCGTGACCTGGCGGAAGTGTTTCGCCACGCCTCAGTCTTGAGTCGCGCCCATAATCCCTGGGTTTCTCTCTCAAGAACAGCAGCCTTCAGCTGCTCCTCAGACACCAGACTCGTTTGGCGGCACCCCGCCGCCCTCCCTGGTACGTGCACTTCCTGCCTTTGGACCCAAGTGCGTGTGCCAGCAATGCCGTCTGCATTGCAACGCTACGTGTTGCGTGTGGTCATAGTGGCCCCTGGCCCCGCTGTAGCTGTTTTCACCTTGCCAGGCTCGCCCCGGACCGCGGCTCTGCGTCCGACGCACGATGGATTCGCCTCGTCACCAGAACCGCGCTCTTACTCCCTGGGTTTCCTCAAGATATTTCGGCCTTCAGCCGCGCTTCTCCACCTTCCCTGGGGGCGACCCTGGGCTTGGACGCATCGTCAGTGGGTCTCAGCGTTTTTCAGACGGTCCTGTGACGTGGGCCGCCCCGCCGCACCGGCGGAATGCCCATCCGGGCCGCTGATGCCGTACCGTGACCGAGTCGCAGGCGTGCTCCCGTACTCCAGGTTTGCAGCGGTTCACCCAGGCGCGCTACCCCAGTGACTAGTGGTGGACCGCTCGCCGCAAGTGTCTGTGCGCACTGACGTCGCCCCCTTTGTCGCTCCCACGCTCAACCTGGTTGAGCGGCCACTCCCTGGGCCTCTTCGTGACTACGGATTGCTTGTGCTGCAGTGGGTATGCGGCAGCGCAGCTTTCTCTGAGAGCTTTTCCTCGTATTGGCCCCTCAGCGGGGATGGAGAGTCGCTCTTTGTTTTGTCATTTAGTTTCCTGGGGCGCGCCCCGTCACCCTCGACTGGCCGACGTGTCTCTCGACAAGGTCGGGAACAGGTGCACCCCTGCACACTGCGTCGCCTCATGTCGTTGGTCTCTCGCGTGCAGACGCATCCCTCCGCATATGTTCTGAGGTTGACTCCGGTTGTTATGACCGCAGGCGTACTCTGTCAGCCGCTTGATGCGTTCTCTGAAGCTGCGACGGTTCGCTGGCGCTGTCAGAGACCCTTCTCCATGCTGGACGACGTCAGCTCTTTTGCCTACGGTCTCGCTCATACCCGACAGACTCCCTGGGCTCTCTGGCACTCTTCGTCCACGGAGACTGATCCCCACCACCTTGTGATTGTCGACCGACACGATCCATGACTGGGGATGTGCGTCGCGCCATTTTGGCAGCGTCCTCCCTGCTTCCTGGGTGGCTGTTTCCTTTCAGACTCCCTGGGCTGCAGTTTGCACCGCCGCCTGACCCGCGGCCCCCGCGCGCGCCCGGCTAAATCGTCACGGCCGCAGCCCGACCGTGACCCGCCGCCGCTGGCGCTTCCCCCCCAAAAAAAAGTTTCCCCACCAGCGTGGCCGCCTCTTTCTTAATTATCTGCAGGTGCACATTGCGTGGTGTCGCGCCAATTATCTGTCGCTGTGCCCCAGCCTCGGTCATACCGCCCTCTGGACTTCTCCTTGCGGGCCGCGAATCAAAAAAAAGTTTCCCCACCAGCCCCAGCAGTTCTACAGCTGCCAGCCATCGGTTCGCCCCGGCGTCGGAGGTATTCGGCTTCTGCACGGGCAGCGTGGCAGGTGTTGAGTGGGTGCGGCTGTCCGCCATACACGTGGTGATTGGCTTCGTCAAAGTGAGCGGCCCCGCATCGAATGGTTCAGCCTTCTGCGTTTCGAGTTCGTTTCGCTCTTCTCGGCGCAGCTGCAGCCCTAGCCCTCGTCAGTACAATTTCATCGTTGTGCCCCCGAACAGCGTGATTCCGATATGATGTAAGCGCGCAGGCTACCGGCTGGAGGTTGCTCAGCCTCGTGAACGCACGCCAGTGGTCTGCTTCTTACTGGATGGTGCTCGGACGCGGACCCCTCATTGACACTCGTGTTCAGCGGCTTTTGGCTGCGCCCCCCCCCCCCTGCCCAACAGCGCCATCGCATTGCGCCGGCCACAGAAGCGCGTCTGGCCTGAGACCTGCCCTGGGAACAGAGGTCCTTCCTTCGTCGCTGACCCGGCCATGGTTCTACTACAAGGACGTATTGGCCCGCCGTCAGCACGCCGCCAGCGAACGGTGCGGCCCAGCAGCTCTGCAGCTGCCAGCCATCGGTTCGCCCCGGCGTCGGAGGTATTCGGCTTCTGCACGGGCAGCGTGGCAGGTGTTGAGTGGGTGCGGCTGTCCGCCATACACATGGTGATTGGCTTCGTCAAAGTGACCGGCCCTGCATTGAGTGGTTCAGCCCTCTGCGGCTCGAGTTCGTTTCATTCTTCTCGGCGCAGCCACAGCCACCAGCCCTCGTCAGTACATTGCATCGTTGTGCCCCCGAACAGCGGGATTCGGATATGATGTAAGCGCGCAGGCTACCGGCTGGAGGTTGCTCAGCCTCGCGAGCGCACACCAGTGGTCTGCCTCTTACTGGACGGTGCTCTGACGCGGATCAGCCACACCTCAGCTTCAGTGAGCCTTGGTGAGTCGGGTCACCCTCGCCGCATCATCGTATGCTCGTGGAGCTGCCGTGAGTCTGAGTTAGTTGCTCTCGCTCGCGCTCCCCCCCCCCTTTTCTTCCGAGGTCTTGGACGGCCTGGCTCAGTGTGCACACGCGTGGGTTCCGTCTGGTCATTGGCCGCTCGGACTCGCGTTCTGCCCGCGGCTTCTTACAGTGTCTTGCTGTCCGTCTTGGCCTCGCTTCCGATTGCGGTTCGGCTGGAGCTTGGCGCCGCAAGGGCGACTTCTCCCCCCCGCTCCGTTGCCGCCTCGTTGCCGCGCCTTTTGCTTCCCCACCAGCCGGGCTGTCTGGGCGGGTCACCAGCAGACGCTGAAATGCGTCTCAATGAGGGGCATTCTGTCCCTGGCATGTGCATGTGCCGCTGCGTGTGTTGTCCGCTGGAATCCGCGGCAATCTCGCGCCAATTATCTACGTACCGCGCCCCGGACGTTGTGCTCGCTCCCTGCCTCTCGCCTTGGAGCCGCGAGCCAAAAAAAAATCCCCACCAGCTTAATTTTCCAGCATTTGGTTGGGCTGCAAGTGCCCGAGCTTCCCTGGACGCTCTCAGCTCGCCATCTCCTCCGCGCAGCCTGCCGCTGCTTGGTGAGTGGGCCGGCCGGCCTGCGGCGCGTGTAGTAGCTAATGAGGCCGCTTCCGTGTCCTGGAGCGCTTCTGACTCGCGGACGCGACCGAAAAAGTTTTCCCACCAGCGGTTTCGAGCCTAGCAGCTAATTAGGGCTGTTCCCGCGCCCCGGACAGCTTCTGTCTCCGTCTGCGCTTTCGCTAGCGGACGCGACCAAAAAAAGTTTCCCCACCAGCCCATTCAGAAACGTTGCCCATGTGAGCTGACGGGAAGCGCGATGAAGAGACACACAAATATAGCGAAACGAAGCAGGCAACCATGCTGACTTGAGGATTTGGAGGAGGAGGGGGAGCAGGAAGAGGATATGGATGACGGCCCGCCCCGCGGGGCCCTATTGGGGCGCTCTTGGGGCGCTCTTGGGCGCTCTTGGGGCCGTCTTGAGGCCCTCGTGGGGATCACTTGGGGCCCTCTTGGAGCTCTCTTGAGGGCCTCGTGGGACCCCTGGAGGGCCTCTTGGGACCATCTTGGAGGCTATCGATCAAAGGAGGAGTTCCTTTCTGTTTGCTCCCCTTCGGGGCCAATCGCCTGTTGGGGCGCTCTTGGGGCGATGTTGGACGGTCTTGGGGCCGTCTTGGGGGCCTTTTGGTCCCTTCTTGGGGCTCTCTTTCGGAAGCGAAGCGGCGAGAATGCACGAATCATCGTTTCTCTTCTCCAGGGTTTGAAGGATTGGGGCATCTTGGAGGGGGTCCTTGGGGGCTCCTAGAGCACTTGGAACCATCTAGTGGCCCTCTTGGGGCCTCTTGCAAACAGGCCGGAGATAACCTTGGTACCAATTTTCGTCTATCTTGAGCCATCCTGAAGGCCCTCTTGGAGCATTGGAGGCCCTCTTGGAGCCATCTTGGGCCTAGAAGGACCCTCTGACACATCGCGCCCCCCCCCCGTCCGGACCCAGGGGGAAGGGGGGTAGGGGGAGGGGTAAGCTCCTCCCCGAAGGGGGAAGAAAGGGGTTGGTAGAGGAAACGCTCTCAACCACCTCCGCCCAGAGGGCTGGTGAGATTTGCGAGGAAACAGGGGTGGAGGAGCCCACAGGGATGCAGTAGCAGCAGCTTGGAGTTATGTGAGGGAAGAGGGCGGGTGCCTCGGCCTCGGTCCTCGGGCCGCCCGCGCAGCCATCGCCGCGCCCCGCACGACGCGCCCGGGTCGCCCCCCGAGGCTCGGGGCCAGGGCGGCCGGGCCCGGGGCCCCTCGCCAGGCCCAGATCGGGAAGCTGCTCCGCGCGGAGGGCGCCGAGGGGGTCCGCGCGGAGGTGATGAAGGACCTGGAGAAGGCAGTCCTCCCCGTTCCCCCCTCCCCTCCTCCCTCCTGCTGCCTCTCCCATCCCTGCCTCCCTCCTCCCTGCCTCCCTTCTCCCCCTCCGTCCCCCTCCCCCTCCGTCCCCCCTCCCTCCTTCAACCCCCCTCACTCCCCCGTCATTCTTCCTTTCTCCCTCTTTCCCCCTTCCTCCTCCTCTCAACCGATGGCCATCGTTCGCGAGGAAGCGCGCGTGGAGGGATTACCTTGCATCCTTCCAGCGCTCAGTCGGGGATGCGCTGGCCAGAGGAGGTGTCCAGCAATACCCCCGTTTTTAGAAAGCACCGTTCCCCCACCTGTGTGTAACGGCTGCACACGCGAGTCTACACGTCTGGCCGTGAACATCGAGAGCATCCCAAGCGAGAGCCCCATCATGGCATGGAGCTGCTCGTCATCCGCGCAGCTGCTACATGCTTTAACTGAAAGAACCTCGAGCGAGAGCACCATCTCGAAACGGAACCGCCCTCCTTCCTTGTAATCGTTGCACGCTTATGAGGCGGATGTGCGCAGCGCTAAGACGAGAGCCCCATTTTGAAAATACACCGCCCCCCATCATTGTGAGTGCTGTACGCTTTTGAGACGGATGTGCGCGGCGCTACGGCGGGAGCTCCATTTTGAAAAGGATCCGCCCTCCGTCATTGAACCTTGTGCGAACGTTCAAGACGAATGTACGCGGCACTGATGCGAGAGCTCCACTTTGAAAGCCCTATGTACTCCATTATTGCATTGTGAAGTTCAAGTTTCAGGGTGCGACAGGAGGAGTTCTTCAGGAATCGTTAATCCAAACAAGGACAATGGATGGAGGAGGTGCAAGGGGATGATGATGCTGACGATGATACTGACGTTGATGCTGATGCTGAAGCTGATGCTGATGCGGAAGCTGATGCTGATGCTGATGATGATGCTGATGAGGATGATGATGCTGATGCTGATGCTGATGCTGATGCTGATGTTGATGCTGATGACGACGATGATGCTAATGCTGATGATGATGACGATGATGCTGATGTTGTTGTTGTTGTTGTTGTCGTTGATGATGATGCTGATGATGATGCTGATGATGATGACGATGATGCTGATGCTGATGCTGTTGCTGCTGCTGCTGATGATGATGATGATGATGATGATGATGATGATGACGGTGGTGGTGGTAGTGGTGATGGTGGTGGTGATGATGATGGTGGTGGTGGTGATGATGATGATACTGATGCTGCTGATGATGATGATGATGATGATGATGATGATGCTGATGATGATGATGATGATGATGATGATGAGGAGGAGGAGGAGGAGGAGGAGGAGGAGGAGGGGGGAGGAGGACGATGAGGGAGGAGGGAGAGGAGGAGGAGGAGAGGAGCAGGAGCAGAAGGATGATGAGGATGAGCAAGACCAGCAGCAGGAGGGAGGAATATGAGAAGTCAACATGAGGGAGGGTGAGCAGTGGGAGCAATAGGGTGGAGAAGGAGGAGGAGGAGGAGGAGGAGGAGGAGGAGGAGGAGGAGGAGGAGGAGGAGGAGGAGGAGTCGGAGAAGGAGCAGGAGAAGGAGGAGGAGGAGGAGGAGGAGGAGGAGGAGGAGGAGGAGGTGGATGAGGAGGAGGAGGAGGAGGAGGAGGAGGAGGAGGAGGAGTGACTGGCTCGCCGCCCTCCCCCTCTCGTGGTGCTGGGCAGGCGCGGCAGGCCGAGAAGCAGACCATCAAGGCCCAGAGCAAGGAGGCGCGCCCTCCTCCCTCCCTCCCTCCCTCCCTCCCTCCCTCCCTCCCTCCCTCCCTCCTTCCGGCGTCGAGCGGTCCGCAGGGCGTGCTTCGCGTTTTCGCAGCGTTTCGCCCCTTCGCTCTCTGGACCTAGGTCTTCAGATTCAGGCCGCCCCTTGACTCTGGACTTCCCGCCCTCCCTCCCTCCAGGCTTCCCCCCCTGTCCAGCGGGCCGGCTGCGCGGGGTTGGCGCCGGGCCTCCCCGCAGTGGGGACCCTCCCGCAGATTTTGGGAGGCCTCAAGAGGCCTGAAGAGGGCCCAAAACCTTCAGCACCGTCCGAAGACGACGGCGTCGACGTCGAGCGCCCCCTCCCCCCCCCCACGCGAGGCCGCACACTCGTGGCGGGCGGCGCAACGCATGGCGAAGCAGGCGGGGGCCCCGAGGAGATGAGGGAGGCAGGGCTCGGCAGAGCCTGGCGGGTGGGGATGTGGGGGGTGCACAACACAGGGGGGATCTTCCTCCTCCTCCTCCGCATTTGCTCCTCCTCCGCCGCTCCTCCTCCTCCTCCTCCTTCTCCTCCTCCTCCTTCTCCTCCTCCTCCTCCTTCTCCTCTTTCTCCTCCTCTTTCTCCTCCTTGTAGCCATGTGAGGCCGTCCACGGCCCCCCACGCTATCCCGGGCGTGCCGGAGGCATTCTGCCACATAGGGGCCTTCCGTGGCAGAATGGTAGGCCCGCGCCCGGCGGCGTCCTCGGTGCCTCTGGGTCGCTTTTGGGGCTCTCCTGAAGCCGTCTGGGGCTCTTTGGAGCCCTCTTGGAACCTCCTTCGGGTGCCTCGCGGAGCTCTCTTCGCAAGTCTTGGCGGGCTCATGGGCGATCTGAAGCCATGTGAGGCCGTCCACGGCCCCCCACGCTGTCCCGGGCGTGCCGGAGGCATTCTGCCACATAGGGGCCTTCCGTGGCAGAATGGTGGGCCCGCGGCCGGCGGGCCACCCTAGTCTCTTCCCACGTGCTGCCTCTAATTGAGGCAGCCTCCACCTCCTGTCCCCTCCAAACCCGATCACCTGCTCCGCCGCATTTCCCCATCCTCCTCCCCCTTGGGCAACACTTCGCCCCTGCTCGTCGGTGCCCCCCCAACCTTGGGGAAGGGCAGGGTCGCTCAGCCACCAGATGGTGGCTGCTGCGACCGCTGCGCGCAGATTGCAGCCCTCTAGGAAACCGTTTTGGGGGTTGCTAGCGCGGGCTGGCCCCCATATAACAATCCTCACAACAGGCTGCGAGTTGGGGCCTCCCCAAGCATTGGGTGTCCCCCATTAGCAATTCCTCGGTCTTTCTTGTTCCACCGAGTAACTGTTAATGGCGGCCCGCTCGCAGATCTGGAAGCAAGGTCAGTGATCCCCTCCTCCTCCTCCTCCTCCTCCTCCTCCTCCTCCTCCTCCTAGCCCCCCACGGCCCGAGGGACCTGGAACGCGGGGGCAACCAGCTGCCCCCGAAACGCTGCCGCCGCGTTTCCGACACTCCCCCAGAGTGTTCCAGCTCGGGCGGCCGCGCCCGCGATGATGCATAGGCTCAGAGTCTGCAGCTACAATGTGCTTTCATTGAGACAAGAGGGACGGTGGTACGATATCGCGCAGGAGCTACGATCATGCACAGTGGTCGGCTTGCAGGGTACACAGTGTTCAGGGGCAAGGAATCTTGTGTGTCAGCAGGATCGAGTAGGCAGGTTTCACCGCTTCAGATGGCCACGCGCTGGAGGTGTATCAGGCAGACCGACGGGGTTAGGATTGCTGCTTAATGATCGTCTGGTGCAGAGTAGCATGATCAGACAGATATACACACCAGAGGGATGGGAAGGTAGACTTGGAGCTGTTAGATGTAAGAGTAAGCGAATGGATTTCACGTTCATAGTTGGGTATGCGCATACAGAACCACACGGTTCTCAGAAAGAGCGAAGGGCACAGGAGAAGAGATGCAAACACTTCTGGCTCGGACTGACACAGCTGATAGACATGTTGCCGTCCCGCACAGTGCCAGTGCTCATGATGGACGCGAACGCCAGGATCGGATCTGTCGAGTCGGACACGCATGTTGGCACGAAGGAGAGCGATGAGGAGAACTACGATGGGAAATGCTTTCGATAGTTTCTGGAACATCACCATTTATGTGCACTGAATTCTTATTGCGAGACGGGCCCTACGTTCTATCACGGCTCAGGTGAGTACACTTCCAGAATAGACTATGTGTGCTCCACCAGCGGTCTTGTCGAACGTGGAGGCGTGCGAGGTGTGGGGACGGACGGGGGATAGACTGCAGATCATAAACACCAGGACGAGGCGTGATCACTTTCCGCTCGTAGTGCGTTTCAGAGTAGGCCCGTGCTTCGATTTAACGCCGCAAGCTGTGCGTGCATGGGATCATGATAAGCTGTCGAGATGCATTAGATTCGGTCAGGAATCCTGGGAGTTCTTATCGGCGGTGGACGCGCCCCTGGAAGCTACAGCGCTCGATGTTCAGGACTTGTGTCTCCAGGGGCCAGATGCGATGTATAATGAGGTGCATTCCAGAGTGCTGGAGAAGGCACGTGCTGTTTTTTTCGAAGCAGCCCTAGCGAGAAGCAAGACCCGCGGACACGCGGCGAGCGCTGGAGGCGCGGCTGGAGAGCAGGAAAGCCTTAAGGGAGCTGAGAGGAGTGCCGCTTCCTCCCCTTCCCTCCTTCCCTTCCTCTGGGTGAGTGTCCTCGGGGGGGGGGGGGGGGGGGGGGGGGGGGGGGTCCTGACTGGGTCCGCTGGGGGGAGGGGGGGGGGGGGGGAAGGGAGTGCGCGAATTCCTGCCCAGGCAGTTTTTTGGGCGAGTGCGCGCGCTCTCGAGAGCGCGCGACGAAGTTTATGAGCCGCGCGCGTGTCTCGCAGCTGTCAGCAGCGAGATAAGAACGCGCGGTCGCATCTGAGACGAGACCGTTCCGAGAGAATGGGGATGTATGCGAGCGAATTAAGTAGGGCTCAGCGACAGGGAGACGCAGCGCTGCGCTGGAAGCTGTCTCGTTTGCTTGCCAGTAATTAGGACCCAAACAGAGGATTTTTTGTGCCCCCCAGACGCGTCTTGAGAAAGAGGCGCGGAAGACATTCCTGGAGCCACCTGGTAGAGAAGGCGTTTTTTTGGCCAAGTCTCCGTGTCAAGAGGAGGAGAAGCAGCGTAGGCAGAACAGAGAGCCCAAGGTGGACCTCACCATTAGTACTATTCAGCACGGCACGGGCGATTATATAGAAGTACGTAGGAAGATGCGCAACACTAGGCTGAGGCGGTCGCCGCCCGACTGGAGCTTCCTAGCAGGAGTGTGGCGGCTGCTGCTGTGGCCGAATGAATTTCGCTATGATCAGTCGGATGCCTCGGTGGAGACGCAAGAGGAAGATGACTGGTCTTTCCAGAATATTAATACATGTTTAACTTGGATATGCGTTGCAATTAGGCACCACGGTGCAACCCCGTTACAGTGGCACCAGAACAACGCTTTTTCATTGAGTCGATTCAACGGAAAGAGCGAATGCAAGGGCCAGAGGCTTGTGCATTCGCTCGACTCAATCGGTAAATCATATTATGGAGTGCTGTGGAGCAGGTACTCCGAGCTGACACGTTCTGCCGATAGAGTATACTCTTTTGGGTACTTGGAAGGGTGGGCGCCGAGAGGAGGCGATCCTCGCGCAATGTGTGTGTGTGCGGCTCGCTTGCATGGTAGTAAAATAGGCAGGCTTACCACTCTATATGATGTCACGAACGCGTTTCACAGTGTTGAGCATGAGTATTTGCACGCGTACGTGGATGAGCATTGTGACGCGTTTGGTGCCGAGCTGTTCAAACAGAGACTACGATTCGCGCAGGTGTCGATCGAATGTGCGGATGGGGCGCCGGTCGTGGGTATTGGGCAGGGCGCGCTACCTGGGGACACGATCGCGTGCATATGGTTCCTAGGGGCCTATAATAAGCAGTTGGACGTGTTCAGGGGTTCGGATGCGTCCAGCCTGTATGTGCAGATGGAGTGGCTTAGGCACTGCTTAACCGATTGTCCAGATGGTAGAGTACTGCTGAATCACAGGTCCAGGGAGTTCATGGACATCTCGCTGTCTAGTTTTTCTGATGCTATTGCAAGAACTTCAGCAGTGACAGACGCTGCGCATTGCAGGCTGCGAACGATGTCACAGTGCAGATCGTTGGAAGGTGAACTGAAGGAGATAGGCGTTGCGTTGAATGATGAGAAGCAGGAATCACTGGTTAAATTGACGGGGAAAGGGATTCAGGAGGGCATGAGGAGGTTGTATAGAGACCAGAATTGGATGTTGGGAAAGGTGAAGAGGGACGCTAAGCATTTACGAGGTTGGCTACACTTTCAAGGTAGCTCGAAGCCAGAGGTTGAGCTACGTGTGCGGCGTGCCAGGCAAGCCTTCGCAGTACTGGGCAGTTTTTGGTCAGAAAACAGGAATGTTAAGTGGAGGACGGCGGTTTTCAAAAGCATGGTGGAGGGTTCGCTTCTTGCGGAGCTCATCGCTTACCCTCTGAGCGAGACTGATTTGCAGCGCTTGGAGGGAGTCCAAGCACATCTTGCTAGGCGCGCTCTGCAACGCAAAGGCTGTTTGAAGATAGCTGCCACCAGTGAATGCCCAAGACGATATCGAGCTTTACCCAACGCGGAGATAAGGAAGGAGATGAAGTTAAGGGCACCCTACTGCACCTTGAGAGCTAGGAGGATTCGCTGGTGGCAAGAGCTAGTACGATCGCCTGAGAAGCACTTGTTAGTCTTGGCAGAGATTTTTGGATACGCTGCCTGGGATCAGCTCAACCTATGCGATGTGCATGGGAATGCGTGTGCTGCGCCAGGTACTAGTGCTGTACACCTATGGTGGAGCCAGTTTCTATTGGATGTTTCTGTGTGTATTGCGGACCTGGGAATGCCCGAAGTGCGACCAGCACTACTCCGAAGGCCAGTGGAGCTTTTTTTGCAAGTCAGAGATCAGGGAGGCGTTCCTAGGTGTGAAGGTGTCGCAGGTCAAGAGGGCTGAGGGAGGACCGAGGACGTTCGAGGAGATCTACACGGAGGGGGTGGAAGCGAACGAGGTGGACGAGGAGATTGGAGGGGGGGAGTTGGGAGGAGATGAGGCGCAGGTTTTACCGCCCCCTGGTCTTGAACTTGTTCCAGAGGTTCCTGCCCCCGCTCCATGCGTGTGCGATATTGAGGGCTGTGGAGTGGGATTTAATTCTCGCAGGCAGCTCCTGCTACATCAGGCCAACTCAAAAGCGGACGGCCATGACAAAAAACCCCTCGCCGAGATCTTGACGGTGTCTAACACATGTATTAAATGTGACAACTTCTATACCACTCGGAGGTATGCTTCAGAACATCTGGCAGTCAGCATCGCTAGAGGTGTGTGTCCGAAATCCAG